TGTTGTTTCACGTATTGGTCCACTCGGTTCGGGTACGACTGGTCTTTGGTCACCAAATCGATCTTCATTTTGATGATGAGAGTGAATCCCTGTCCAAACTTGGACTTTAGCTGTTGTGTAGATCCCAAGCATTTGAACTTCCCGTTAACCATAATGGCTATTCGAGCGCAAAGGGCTTCCGACTCCTCCATCGAATGACTGGTCAGTATTATCGACGAGTTCTGGCGATTCTTCAACAGATCCAGTGTTTGCCATATCTTGCGTCGGGCGACCGGATCCACGCCTGCCGTCGGTTCGTCCAGAAATACGAGCGCCGGTCGACCGATGATCGCCAAACCCAGCGATAGTTTACGTTTATTACCTCCGCTGTAGTTCTTTGTCGTGTGTTTGCAGTGAAGCTGGAGATCAATGGCGTGTATGACTGCTGTGATCGCGGCGTCGATGTGTTCGGCGGGTATTCCTCGCAATCGAGCGAATAAGTAGAGCAGCTCTTCACCGGTCAGTCGATCCAGAAGTGCGTCAAACTGTGGACAATAGCCGATACGGCGACCGAAAGACTTCGGCTGTTGAACCAAATCGACGGAATCGATGTAAGCGTTGCCGTCGTCGGGGAACAGCTCTCCGGTGAGCATTGAAAACGTTGTGGTCTTTCCGGCGCCGTTCACTCCCAACAGACCGAAGCACTCGTTCTTATGGACGCCGAATGTCAGGTGATCTACAGCTTGAAAGTTGTCGAAACTTTTACACAGATTCACCACAACAATGCCCTCCTGTGCCCTCAGCTCCGGGCTCTTCATGACCTGATCCACGCGCTGTCGTTCGGCCAACACATCCGCGTCTTGACTACCATTGGACACGAGATGGAGATTCGGTGAGTAATTCTTTCGGCTAAACATTAGGCAAAGATTTTCTGAAATAAAAAAGTGCATAAAATAAGTCAATAATGCATTTGTATTGTCAAAAGTGGTATCCAATCAAAAGCCAAACCTTCGATAATCAATAACACGATTATGAATAACAGCGCCGATACTATCAAACCGATGAGCTCGCGGCCAATGCCCGCCGGATTCAAAATCAACGGATTCAAGTATTTACACGATGTCATCTGGTTGTAAAGCGGGGCGTCCGGGAAAAATGCCGGCCACCGGTCGGGCCATTCGGTGGGAAACGTGTTTGCGGGCCAAAGATGGCCGGAAGACTCTCTAATCGCATCCATTTGTTTGGCGCACAACTGTTTGTTCACATTAATCATGTAAATCTTTGTGAAGCCATAGTTTAACGAGAATATGGGTATCAATCGGAACGCATGTATGATCAATAAGAAACCGTCCTCTTGTTTAGTGCCCATCGTTGTGGTCGGACCCGCTAACGCCGCCCCTCCCGTTGTCATCAAGTAAAGGCCCGAATAAATGGCGTTTACAATGAAACCAAACACCAGATAAAACACCAGTAATAGTGAGAAACCGATTGGCGATGAGTTGAACCAAAAGGACAGACAATAGGCTATGGATATCGACGACAAACCAAATGCCAGTAACAATAGGAAGAAAGCGGTGCCCGACTGCCAGCCCTTGAAGAACGCTTGGTTTACGTCAAACATATAGACCACAAGTGATAATAGGGTTATCGCTAACAAGTGGTTCAATATATCAAACAAGTAGTTTGTCAGCCAATACACGGCCGAAGACAGACCAGTCATCAGTTGCAGGGCTTTGGACTTCGAGACCCTCTCAATGATGGGGTATATGATGTAAGAGGCGGCCAAAAATGGTAACGTAATCGGCATTAAGAGTATGCACGAGACGCCGGCGGCAATCATATTTTGGATCAAAGCATTGTAATACTCTTTGTCTTTACCGCTGCCGGTGAAGACCCAACTTTTGAGCGGTTCTACGATTGTGGTGATCGTGAAGTCCTTAAGTTTGAGCACCGATTGGCGGACGAGTGACTCATACATCAAGTTTATGGACAGCGGGAGTGAATGAGTGGACTCGTAGTTAAACCATATCTGGGGGCTAAGTGTACCGGACGTGTTGCTGACGGCGCCGCCCAACACATACTTCATCACGTATTGCTCAAAGACGCGACTCTTTTCCAGCAGCCAATCCTTTGGATCAGTTGTTTTGGTCAATACGTCTGCGGTCACGCCGTGTCTCTCAGCGTTCGGTATGTAGTGATTGGCGCCGAAGTCGTGAGTCGTTGGGTCGAAGTCGTGATAGAATCCAATCGTACGGCCGTATAGTTCCTGGAGATCCAGTGTTATTGACTTAGACTTCTCAGTGGCAACAGATTTAACACTATTGTCGGCCAGAAAGACAAGTATGAAGAGTACGGCCGGAATGACGATCTGGAACAACAACATCGCCCAATGTCTACGACTGTAATGGAAACGCTTCACCAGAAGACCCAATACTGACATTTGGATCAGTTTAAAGCCGTCCTCATTCTTGTACTGCTTTTCAATCTTCTCCTGTGAAGCCTTCTTTCCGTTGTCCACCTCTTCATGGGAACCGACTTTGAGGAACACGTCTTCCATTGTGGTCACAGTTATGCCAAATGAATTGAATCCGAGCTCTTGTTTACGGCTCTCGAGTTCGTCGAAGAGTTTCGGGAATATGTTTTTGTCGGTCTGTTTCGAGCGGTCGTCGGATTCGAGTGAATAAATCACTTCAGTATTGATCTCACTTTGAAGACGACTGTCCGGCAAATACTTCTTAAGAGTCGTGTCAACCGATTGTTTGTTGTATTTGTCTGTCTTTGCGATTCTGAGGTGATATCCGGCGCCGAATCGCTTCTTCAGAAACATCGGAGAACCGCAACACTTGAGCACTCCTTCAGACATAATCGCTATTCTGTCGCCCAATACCTGAGTGGACACAAAGTTAGAGT